AGCGGCCCTGCGATCTTCACCGAAGAGTTCTGTGTAATCATACCGGGCCTCACACTGCACTTCGGTCTTCCGCGTCCTCGCTCCTAACAAGGTGACAATCCTTCCCTACCCAGGGATCGGACTCAGAGGAACGCGAACTGGCGCAGGCTCAAAATTGTGGTGGTCGCTGGTGAACGTTGTCGCAAAGTATGATCGATCACGAACTTGATCTATTTATTTCGAGCAAAATGAGCAGGTACCCAGAGGGCAATCGAGATAGCTCCCTCAGGCTCGAAAGTTGAGATATATCAGCCCAGCTTCTTCGTCATTCGCGTTTTTATGGCTGGGGCACAGCACCGAGAATTTTTGCGTAAATATCAATAGATCCTCCGTAGGTAACAAGAAATTTTATAACATAAGACGCGGCTACGTTTAGCTAAAAGTTCTGACAGGTCGACTGAAGACAGCCCCCGCGCTCCCCAAATGCTAAGGCCGCCTTCCTTGTTGAAGTAGTATGGTCCTAAGTCTAATACTCCCAGTGCTGACGCCTCCACACTTGCGCCGCCCACTAAAGTTCGAAGGTTTTCTTCTGGCACGACTTCAGTTTTCAGACCGTGTTCCTTTCTTTACTTTCAGGTGGTATCTAGCACTGAATGACGCAAAGAAAGGACTAGTAGAGATCGCTTTGCTGGGATAAAACGAGCAGGTCCGTAGAACTCGTCAAGACAGGCTACCGTCTCTATTTTATGGTGTTCGTCGCGAATTTTATTTGCTTTTCTCTGACCTGGAGAGTTACTTAAGGACTATGCGTTTGTAACTAAAAGTCACTGCCACAATATGCAATCGCGGGGTTTGTCTTTAATTGGGGTATGCCGTTCCTCTAGTTGGAATCGTTGATGTGTGTAAAAACTCGACATGCTAGGCTTCAAAGCCACTCTTTTTTGTATTTGCAGGAGGAATCCATGAACTTCAGAAAGTTGTCGCCGCAACTGGGCAGCCCTATAGCGTAGCAACCGACCTCGATCACTAAGACTTCCTAGCATTCACCGGTGGGCTTTCCTAACGAAGGAAGGAATGTGGACCTAGTCGAATGCACATTGCTGCGTTTTACTAATCCACTATCACGGCATACGAAGGGGGTTCCGAATCCAGCCAACTAAAGGCTAGTTCTCCATAAAAAAGAAAGAATGTACACAATGTAATCCGAATTTCCCGTATATAAAATAATGAGAGAGAGAACCCGCCAGCAAACTTGCACAATTGCCCAGGCAATTAATGCGAAATGCACTCCAAGCATTAGCCGTCAATTGGACAAAGCTGTGTGCATTTGTCGTATTGCGTATTACACTCAATTTGACATCTATTTAGCAATGTGGCCGTTTTATACTCTTTTTTCATTTTCAGTTGTTTCTCATGTTACTATTTGTATACGAGGCACTACACTGTTGCGCTTCTTTGTTCGCTCCCATGGGACGCTGTCTGGGTTGTTGTTATCTGGCCCATCTCCTTGTGTGTGGAGAAAAGCCAAATTTAGCGGTTGATAAAAGTAGAGAGAACCGCTCTCTTCCGAAGATATGCGCTACCGATAACGTCGTATAAGACGTTAAGCAAACCGTCAACGGCACGACGTTAAGGCTATCATGTGGAGAGCGACAGTAGTTTACTATAGTACCGAGACAGTTTGAATCAGAGCAAGTACTGAATCCTATCTGTCGAAGTATATAGGCTCGTACAAAATTTTTGGAATAAACGATTCCTTAAGAAACAAATCTGCGGAGAGCCATCATTTGGTACAGAGTAGGCAGCAGTAAGTTGTGGTTTAGAAATGATCTTTGACATCGTCCCACAAGAAGGCATGAGTGGTATTGTGCTGTAGGTCCGAACCCCTTTTGAAGTACTTCGTTGGCTGATTCCCGATTTCTGGGCACGGCATGTGCATGTACTAGTTGAAGACAAACTGTACATTGGCCTCCGTGTATTTTCCATGTGTGAGGTGAACGGCTCCGCAAGTAGCGTGTCGATTCCTCCCCTCAGAAATGCACTGATGGGGGCCGGAACACAGTGATACCTAGGTGCCATCACCCGACCCCTCCCGCGCTTCCACACGTCTAGCCACACGCCTAACTGTAGCTGAACGCACTGCTTGTCCGCGCCCTCTCACGTCTGCTTGTTCCACTACCTCCGACTACGAGTTCGCTGCGTGATTTTGGTATCACCTGTATCACCTGTGCTCCCGTTGATCATCGAGTTCCTCGAGCGGGCGCCAGTAACGTCTCCATTCGTCCCTGCAACGTGCAAGAGTTGCCCAATCTCTCTGCTCGAGGGACACGATGAACTTCATACCATTCGTTCAGAGCTTTCACGAAGAAATCTGACCATCGCGTAGGCGATCTTCCAGGCGTTCTCGCCCAAGCTCTTCAGCGCCTCTCTCGAGAACGTCATGCGTCAACTGGAATGGGAAGACATGGGAGTGAAGATCGACGGTCGGCAACTACACCATCTCCGCTTTGCTGACGACATCGTTTTGATAACGCCAAACATCGAGCAAGCGGAACGAATGCTGGCTGAATTCGACTGCGCGTGTGGAAATCGGTCTACGGCTGAACCTAACGAAGACGATGTTCATGAGAAACGGATTGGTATCTGATGCCCCATTCACGCTCAACGGAACCACCAACTCTGAATGCTCTAGCTATGTGTACCTAGGTCGTGAAATCAATATGATGAATGACCTAGCTCCAGAGCTGAGCAGGAGGAAGCGAGCGGCTTGGGGAGCCTTCAAGAACATCGAGGGAGTAGCGAAGAAGACGAAGAACACCAAGCTCCGTGCCCTTCGATTCCGCGGTCCTTCCTGCCTTGACGTACGCCTCAGAGACTTGGACTCTACGAAAGCAGAATGAGCATGCGGTTGGCCTTGGCCTACTGCAGCTGAGGACCCATTCACCTCGCACACGGAGAGGACTATCCTGGGATGTGAGGGTACAGTTCGTCTTTGATGCGAATAAGAAGAGCTTATCGCGCATTTTCCAGGAACGCTGGTGGGAGGAGACGATCGATTTCCGTGTAATCCTTGGGAGCACATTCTCACGAACCGCGCCTTAACTCGCGAGTGCCCTAGGTCGATATTTATGCTTTCCTTGGCAGCGCTATGTCACTTGAGGGGGGGGGAGCGCGTCGAGGCCCCGGCTCCTTGGTTAGGGCCTGGGACAAGACTGTGTCTTGAGTCCGCGACGTCGGGTTAAGGGAACACTGCCTTCCCTTTTGTGCATCATCGTGGAGCACAGTGTCTCCGTCATCCATAAGGTTGCTCAAGGTCCGTATTAGATCCGCATTCCACGGATCCATATTTCTATAAATGTCACGACGACACTGAATGGAAGAAGGTGTGTGGCGCATTCCATTCCAACAGAAAACCACACTAAGTTTGTTACAAGTGACGAGTGAGACCCTAGACTGCCAAGCTGAGGACTCTGTTCTGCCGGTTTGCACCGTCTTTCAAAAGTGGGCGGGATTTAATGAAGTGGGCGGGGTCTCTCATGATGGGCGTCGCCTCACGTGCAGTCCAGAAACGCAAAAATTCTGGAAAGACATCGAAATTTCGTAAAAGCCGCAGAAGTGGGCGTGGTCATGGGAGCATACCCTAGTGTGCCAGTGTATAAATGCAGGTCTACGAGTACCTTAGTTGGATGAAGAGTGGGAGAAAATCAGCGACGCTGAAATAGTTATGAACAGTCAAAATTTGCCACTAGCTCTTTAAAAAGTGGGCGGAGCTGCCGACGTCCAGTTCTTTTCAGCTACTGTGTATGTGCTAAATAACAGAAGTGCAAAAAAGTCACAGAAGCAGAAGGACCACGCTCGAATGCTTGAGTGCCTTGGGGGCGGGGCTTGCAATCATGTCCAGTGAGGCATGAGTGTAGTTCGTTGCGGAGCTTGGGCGTTTCAAGCGGTAAGTTTGGCGCGCTGCTAAACACCAATTGTTAAAGCGAGCAAATGATATGACTGCATTATATCGTTCTAATACTTGTTTTCCACCACTTGTCGCATGCGCGCTTCAACAAGAAGGCGAACGGCTTTGATGGCGCACACTCATACTGCCTGACACACCCCCTCATCCGCAGCGAGCTGGATAGTAGGTAAGTGGGATTTAGATTTCGTATGAAAAAACATGGATCTTGTTTGAAAATGTGTGAATTCAGAGTAATGGTACACTTTAGTTCTCTGCGGACGCTTGGGCGTGTCAGCCAGTATGAGTGTCACCCTATGAAAGCCGTTCTCTGCCTTCTTGTTGAAGAGCGCATGCGACAAAAAGTGGTAGAAGACTAGTAATACGAAGGATATGATACAGTATTGTCACTTGCCCGCTTCAACAACTGGTGGAGAACGAGTTTGGCACCGCGCCAAACGCAGCCGCACTGACACGCCCAACCGTCCGCAGCGAACTACACAATACATATTGTAGGATGATGACCATAAGTGCGTTTGCAGAAGTGCAATACTTTTTACCCAAGAGTAAGTCTAGTTCCCAGTTTTATAGACGCTGCCGCTTGTTGCTAATTAGGTTTCTCACAGAAGAGTGGTATTTCTATTCCTTGCAGTTGTTTCTACAGCTATCTTTTCTCCATCTGTCATCGTTTTTTTCTCATTTTTAGTAGCTCATACTGTCCGGAACTCCGTTCCGGTATGAATTTGAAAGAATAGAGGTGAAATTCATTTTCAGACAAACGACTAACTATACAATAATTTTGTTAGTATGTTATCGTAATACTGTTGATAACCGACCATGTTAATGGCATTGAACATTCCGGCGCTGATAATTGTCCTACTACTCATCACGGGTGAAGCTATAGCTCAAGACGAACTGGTATGGTTTCTGAACAGGCGTGAAAGTGGAGGATTTCTTTTAGAGAACCTAAAGTGATGTTGGTTTCCATTCTAGGAAGAGGAACTATGCGATATTGAGACCAAGTCTCCGTGCTCTGTTAAGGATCATGAAGAGTGCCGACCTCAAAATCCACAGGATAAGGTAATCATCATTTATTTGTATACACAAAGTCATGACTTGATAGCACCTGCTGAAGTCGGATTGCCGCTACGTAGTTGGGAAGGGGGTGATTGACAACAGGAGCTTTTTGTGTGGGTCTGGCGCGAAAGGCCAGAGCGCAGAGAGATAGAGGATCGCGACTACCCGGTGCAAAAAGCATGTCGCAAGACTCAGGCTTAGTAGATATTTTTTCGCGGAATTATTCCGCGGCGAATCTAGTCGGCTGTGCTCAGCCTAAGTTTAGGAGAGGGGACATAGATGCTGCAGATTTACACCGCTAGTCGTGTTGGGGTGAGCGCGGCTGAGAAGGTTTTGCAAGCGGGTTACCTGCGCAGCATCTGCAGCAGGACCCTTTCATCCAAAGTGGTGGTGCTGTACTGCGCCAAGTCATCTAGCAAGGAAACACTTCTGCAATGCACTTCTCCCTAACCGAAGCTGTTCCAGCAGAGCGCAGAGAGCTCAGAATCTGAGGCTGCGTTTAGATTCGCGACGGCAGTGCTTCGCTAGCGCGATCGATGTTCGACTTTTACTCGTCAGTCGCGTCGAACGCGCGACCAAAACGCTGCCGTCGTGAAGTCTGAAGCTGCCTGAGATCGTGAAGTCTGAAGCTGCCTGAGAAATTTAGTCTAGCCGACCATACGCATTAGCCCGCATTGAACTCATTTAGCACCAGATTATGGTGTCCATGAGCCCGCGCAAAATTGGCGCTGTCAAGTTCAGGGGGACTGACAGCGGATTTTGGGGGGATTCGCGTGAGAGTGCAACAGGGAGGCTTGTAGAAGGTTGAATATAGTGGGTAGAGTGGTTGTGACTGTAGAACCTTCAATGAGTAATCCCCTTCATATTCTCTCACATTTCTCTCGTAATTTAGATAGGTGTGTGCAAGTGTATTCCTGGATTCGTTCGTGCTTTTAATGGTGCTCCCTGTCTTCCATCTAGCACAGCTGTGAAAGAAGCAGTCAGCACATCCTCCAACGTAACTAACGGACCCTCTACAACGACAGCTAAGGTTTCGTTTGTATACATTGTGCAGAAGGATTTTCAATTTTGAATTATGCTGCGCTTTCAGAGTCCTCTACAGTTTTCACTTGAAGGTCCTTCAGTGATCCAGCTGCCGACAGATTCGGTGAAGGTTGAAGTGAAATTGCAGGAAAAGGATGCGACGCAGAGTGAGTGAAAGTGCAGTAGGATTGTCCCTTTCCAAATGCAGAGCATGTCTCACTTTGCTATTGAAGCGCTGTTGGTATGATGAGATATCTTTTAGGCGACAGTTTTTCTTATTTGTGGGAGTTGCTGCAGGGCACAGGCCTGGCTTTTGCTTCATCATACAAACGTCCAGTATTGGAACTATCTCAGGTTTGTGTAGTTCTGTGTTGACTTGCTTCAGCTTATTAATTATTTTGGCTTTCTCCAATTTTTCCCTTCAACACCTTTTCAGCTGAAAGAGGGAAAACTTCTTTTTCGTGTGACGGTTTCGAACTCTACACACTCTGGTGAACAACAATATGCCTTGACCGTCAACCCTCCAAAAGCGCCTAATAAACCACCACGAGCAATTATACGGCCAGAGTCACCAGTCCATGGTGTGGAGGGTACCAGACTAACTTTGGATGCTGAAGGTACGCAGTGTTGAATGGAATTGGCACAGAGGAAGTTCCTTACAGTTTTGCTTTTTCAGGTAGCGTCGATGACGACAAAATTGTTGCCTTCAAGTGGACGCAAGATGAAGGGCCCAGTATCCCATTGGGTGCTATGAACACACCAATTCTCACGCTGGATAACATGGTCGCAGGAAGTTACGTGTTCAGGTAATTTTTCGAGGCATTGCCCAATAAATGCGAGGATTGATCACTTTCTGTTATTTCTACGCCTGTTATACCTAGCCCATGGTCATAGTTGTTCTGAATTCCTACTAAGGCTGCGTTCACACTTTGCGTCAGTGTACGCTAGCATAATGCAGAGTTTCGAGCGTATGTCAGCGTTTTCACGAGCAACTTGAAAAAAAATCCAAATTAACCTAAAGTATTAGTTGGCGGGGAAGTTCTGTCATACTTTTTCGAACTCAAAATACTTGCCCATTACCTGAAGAGAGGTGACGGTAATGTGAGCACTTATACATCTAAGAATCTTCTTTCTATTTCCTACCCGCTTGACTTCTGCTTCCTCTTCTGCAATATGGACAAAGATGTTATCCGCTGCCTTCGGCATCGAACCCTCCAAGCGTCTCCACACTCTTTCTTCCCACCCTGACGCCAGCATGATAGCTGCAGATGCCAAAATAATGGAGCTGAATAAGGACGATGCCCTCAATTATCGGACAACCTTCCACGACGCTAATGCTTCAAAGCGGGAGCCTACAGTTTTGATGACGAAGTGAGGTTTGAGTATCTGTGAACTCAGACTGAGGGAGCTGCGGGTCGTGAAACTCCTGGATGAACAAGCTGCTTCCTTTTAACTCGTGCGCAAAGCAGCTACGAGATCTGAAGCGAACCGTCGATCAGAGGGAAAAATTTTTCCGCACAGTCCGTCTTCAACGTGATAGTGCAGCCTACTCCGTCCAAAAAAGTTCGAGCCGTACCTCATGCAATAGAGCTGGATGGCTCTCCCCTTGCACTGGTGTAGCCCAGACATTGCTCCTTCTAACTGCGAGTTGCCTCCCGTACTCACCGCTATGAACGAGAAAACCTCCACAACCCGAGCCCAAGTCAAAATTGAGATGATGTCCAACTTTGCGTCGCGCCTCCCTGCATTGTGAAGCGATGGCATCCATGAGGTGCTCAAAAACTGGCAAGAACCCCGCAGTAACATTACTGATTTTGATCTTACACGCCTCTATAAAAAAGCGTAATTTGAAAGAAATGTGGCAGAACTTTCCCGCCCAACCAATAATATTACGCCGCGTTCATACCGTGCGACGTCTTTTGTGTAAGTTGCGTAAGTTGCGTAAGCTGCGTAAGTTGCGACTGAAGAACACATACGTATCGATCCAAAGAAAGCTGCGTAAGTTGCGTAAGTTCGTAAGCTGCGTAAGTTGCGTAAGCTGCGTAAGTTGCGTAAGCTGCGTAATTTGCGTAAGCTGCGTAAGTTGCGTAACCGACGACAACTTCGAGAAGAATAGATACGTATCGATCGGTTAGCTGTCGTCGGTTACGCAACTTACGCAGCTTACGCAACTTACGCAGCTTACGCAACTTACGCAGCTTTCGTTGGATCGATACGTATGTATTATTCACGAACCAGTCGCAGCTTACGCAACTTACGCAGCTTTCGTCGACGTTGACGTCGACGTCGCACGGTATGAACGCGGCCTAATACGTTAGACTGAGCCTACTTCATATTTATGCCACATGCTCTTGTGTAGTTTATATCAATATGAATAAGCTATTCAAAAAGCCACTTGTTCCCGATTTTCACCAGCACCATGCAGATATTTCAGCATTTGCATTCCTCTACGTATTTAGCGTACAAGTAACTGACAGCGGTGGTTTGACGTCGTCAGCATCAGCTCGGGTCGAAATTGAAGCGGAACGCGATGATCCACCGAAAGCGCATATCAATGAATGTGGCAGTAAAGAGCACACTGGATCACTCACTGTGCGCCTTCCGCTGTCCGAACTCAATTTATGTGGCAACAGTTCAATTGACGACAAGGTTTGTTCTCTTCATACTGCAGTGTTGTTTTGGGTTCTTTAGGATTTTTTTTTGTGTTCATGGATCCAATTAATTGAACTTGGTACTGAAAAGTGAATCCATAGTAATGGCTGGCGCAGAAGTGTCATGTTCTCTTTAATGAACATTACGTATTTTTTAGTTTATGACCGCTATGCTAATTTGATGCTGCTTTTAAGGGCATTGTATCCTACAATTGGTTTCGAGTCGATAAGTTGTCTGAGAAGCTTTCCGTTGACACTGCTGGTCCGTTTTCTATGAAGTCCAACTGTTCCTTTTTATCTTTTGTTATTGTGGTAGCCTTGAAGTTAGGAGCAAATCAGAATGTAAAGAAAATAATGTACAAACATCGCAGGCTCAACCACTAGCATACTCACGCTGCGAAATATCCAAGCAAATGAGCGACTGGGTCCATACGAGTTCCAGCTTGATGTGACGGACACCAAGGGGCAGAAGGACTCGACGCGAATTAGCATTTTTGTGAATAAAGCTGAAAACTTCCCTCCAGGTTCGAATGTAGATCAGTTTTGCAGGCACATTCTCGCTTACACAGTATTTAATTTTAGTCGCTGATGCTGGTGGAAACCATACAGTTATACTTCCTGAATCTGCTATTGTACTAGACGGAAACGCCAAGGACGATGGAAGTATCGTCAGTTACAACTGGACTCAAGTCGAGTACGCATCTAGTTGACGATAATTTTTCATTGTTATGCTCAAAATTTGTTATTCAGCGGCCCATCCCGTGCCTCGCTGGTGAATGCTGATAAAGCAAAAGCTACCGCCTCCGATCTTCGAGAAGGAGTCTACCGCTTTTTGCTAACCGTAGTTGATGACGGAGGGCTCAATGGTACCGCATCTGCTTATATTACTGTAGAACGAAGTGAGTCTTCAAAGCTTAAATGATATTTTCATTGCAGCCAATTTATGCTTTTTATTCTAGGTAAGAATGAGCCTCCTATTGCAAGAGCGCCTAATGTGACTGTACGTCTCCCAACTTCGGTAGCGGTTCTAAATGCATCGTCTTCTTCGGATGATGCAGGTATCGTCAGCTTTCTCTGGCGGCCCTCTGATCAGGTACCAGCATCGATGGTGAGTACGAACTTTCTTGTACGGTACTTGCTTTTCATCCTGATTTTTTTTTCTTTTCTCAATGGCGAACACATGCAGATTGCTCTCGATGGGACGGAGAATACTCAGATTATGTTTATAACTGGTTTGGTGGAAGGCATACATGTTTATAACCTAACTGTTGCCGATCAGCAGAAATCAAAGGACTCCATACTTGTCTTTCTCACAGTAATAAAAGGTGAGTATATATGAAACTCCAGCTCATGGAATAGTGTTTGGCACATTTGTTCTCCAATGTACATAGCAAAGCCCACTATATCGTTTGTGAAAGTTTCTGTCTAATAAGATTGCTGAATACAGTGGGGAAGTGTCCGATTGACGGACGCTCTTATCGGAATTTGGACACTATTCACCCTTCACTGCCCCAAGTTTGTTTTGTCAAAAATTTAAATCTGTTTGCAAGCTGTTCTCCAGGGTTAGTTTGACCCCGTGAACACAAATAGCGCACTTGTTAGGCACGAAACTACCGAAATACATTATACCACCGAAACTGCTAGCTGCTATTCGCCTCAGAGCTAGTTTGATCTTCTAAACACGAATCACATCAGTGTGGAATATCAGTGGAGTTGAGGAAGGAGGAAAGAATGGGGGGGGGAGGTACACGTGACAGCGCTGCCTGCTTTTGCTCGCTGGCTCGTCGCGCTGTATTCCCCTTACTGTTCCGTTACCGTCTGGTACGAAACCGCCCGGAGTACGCGCCATGCTAACGTGGTCGAAATTGTATTAAGTACTACCTGTTGGGACAAGTTTTTAGCGAATTTGGTGGTTTAAAGTATTTCGGCCCGGCGCCGGTAGTGCAGGAGTCAGACAGCTACGTGCCAAGTGTATGTGATAATCGCGAAGGTCAAACGTCAAAAGAGGAATTTTTAGCCAGTTCTTACCTTCAGAGAAAAAAGTGGCGGGCTTCGGAAATTGGGTTTTACACGTTTTTTTTTCTGCTAAAGGGTAAACGTGCCGATTTGCAAGACCAGCAGTACCATTCATAATTAGTACTCACTGTACAGTCTTTTCATTATTTCGTGTTCGCTTTCGCGGAAGCTTTATTATTGCGATGTTTTTTTAAGGTGATGAAGAATTAGAATCTGTGGAAATTCTATTGAAGAAGAGTATCGAGGAGTGGACTTACCGTCTTCGTCGAAAACTTCGCGACAGAATTGAAGCGAGTTTGGCAGGATCAATCGAAGTTTGTGATTTCGCTGTTCTTTGATCTGCCTTATTGGCAAAATCCAGTAAACGTGAAAAAGGACGCATAGGTTTAAAGCAGCATGTCGATTGCTGGGATGGATTTTGTACCATGAGGTTTATGGTGGGTGGATTTTCAACGGTCGGGAGTAGGGAGGTGCTACATAACATACTCGCAATTTCTAACCTTTAGTAGATAATTATGGTGCCGTGTTCGAGTTATGTCACGTGTGGTTCCTCCCTTTACAGGAAAGTGATTCAGTGGTTGTGCACTTCACGCGATTCGAAAAGTTGCCACTAGATGGCCGACTTCGAGCAGTGTTTTGGGCTACGAGTCACTCAAAACGAGGTTGGTTAGGATATCAGTAAATTTTTCTGATCTTTCACGTTTTGTGGAGCTGGATCGGGAGCGAAGGTTTAGTTCTGGATAACGAGAATCTCTGTTCAGACCAAACAATGCGACATAAACGGTTGGTGACTTCGAACTCTGATGTGATTTTGAAAGCTGAACGCATTGTGTCCATTTTACGTCAGGAAACCAGTATGCTGTCAGATTTTCGAATCTCGGTTATTCAAACTTTGTGTGAGTGTTCTTGAGCATTTTTATTTGCTAGCGGAACTCTTTTGTATTGACATACTTCGTTTCAGATTGTAAGCTAAATTGCTCAGGACATGGTAAATGTAACGATGCGACTAAACAGTGTGAATGTGACAGCTTCTGGATGGGGAACTTGTTTGCATATGTTTTTGCCGGCTTCAGAAACGAGGATTGTGGTGAGATGGTTTCTTATGCTGAAAGTAGTGCCTTATGTTGAACAGATCAGTAGACACAGGACTACTTCAGCATCATCAACCATATTGATGCTATAAGTTTCGTTTTTAGCGTGGTCCTCGGTTTATTTTTGGATGATCTCTTCTTCACTGACTGTGGTACTCGCGGCCTGCTTTCTATCAAGAAGGAAATCTGCCATGTGGAATCGAGTTACTCGAAGGCGTTTCAAGAGGCGAAAAAGGTATATTCTGATTTGTTGTCGAGGCTGAAGAATCACTTTCTTTCTAACTGTTCCTAGCCTTTCATTGAAAGTTGGTGGTTTACCCTTCTTCTGTCCATTTTATGTTTTATGAGGGTGCATGTGCATGTGGAACCATTCTCCCCTTGTTCAGATACAACCCGCTTCGAAGCGAATCTGATGATGTCGAGAAGGAAGCATATCGTATGAGAAATGGTGAGTTTCTCCCGAATTATAAAAATTGACCAAAAAAAATGATTCACTGAGAAGGTGAGTGTATGAGTAGGGATCACCTATAGTATGCCACTTCTGAGTGAGCTGTCGAGTATACATGTATTATCCGGAACTCACTGCTTTACTCGGTTAGTTTTAATATAGGTCGGAAAACTGCTATCAACTTAGTATCAGCTTGTACTTCAGATTTAATTGACTGTCTGCAGGAATGTCTAGGACGGCACTGGAAAAGTAGGGTCCCCCTGTGACCCTTCCCCTTCCAATACAGAGTGCTTTCCTTGTAGTTTAACGATTGATACTGCTGTGATCGCGTTGAGTGTACCCTGCTGGAGCTACCTGAATCTGCAGAATCCTCTGAAATTTATAAAATTTACTTGTCAAACGATCATATTCCTCTCAAAAGCGACTAATTTTGCAAGAGAAAAACATGTTTCTAGAGAGCCAGATTTTCAGATTATAAAGTGCCTTGAACGATAGTGTTCCAAGAGTTTTTGTACAGGTTATAAAAATGACATGAATTTTTTTTGAACGCCATAGCTTTCTTCATATGTTACCTTTTTGCACAGATGGGAACAGATGTTTTCAGGTATGGTTTTATTATATCATGACTAGGAACGGAGTCGGAAATAGGATTTCCACTTTGTAGAGTGCGTGTTCAGAAAGTATTTTGAAGACTTTCTTGTTGACGAGAAATACCTGTATCACCTGTATCACCTGTGCTCCCGTTGATCATCGAGTTCCTCGAGCGGGCGCCAGTAACGTCTCCATTCGTCCCTGCAACGTGCAAGAGTTGCCCAATGAACTCTCTGCTCGAGGGACACGATGAACTTCATACCATTCGTTCAGAGCTTTCACGAAGAAGTCTGACCATCGCGTAGGCGGTCGTCCAGGCGTTCGCTTGACATCCCGTGGAATCCAGTCGGTGACTGCTCTGGTCCAGCGGTCGTCCTCGAAACGCATGACGTGTCCGGCCTGATCTTCGAAACCTTGGCAAGTCTCTGAGGCGTACGTCAAGGCAGGAAGGACCGCGGAATCGAAGAGGTGGGCACGGAGCTTGGTGTTCTTCGTCTTCTTCGCTACTCCCTCGATGTTCTTGAAGGCTCCCCAAGCCGCTCGCTTCCTCCTGCTCAGCTCTGGAGCTAGGTCATTCATCATATTGATTTCACACCTAGGTACACATAGCTAGAGCATTCAAAGATTTTCGTTCTGTAAGGCTATGAATGAGGGCCATCACATACCAATAACGTATTCTCAATGAAATCGTCTTCGTTAGATTCAGCCGTAGACCGATTTTTCCACACGCGCAGTCGAATTCAGCCAGCATTCGTTCCGCTTGCTCGATGTTTGGTGTTATCAAAACGATGTCGTCAGCAAAGCGGAGATGGTGTAGTTGCCGACCGTCGATCTTCACTCCCATGTCTTCCCATTCCAGTTGACGCATGACGTTCTCGAGAAGGCGCTGAAGAGCTTGGGAGATGGTGTCGCGTGTGGACCTCTCTTCACATCAATGATGATCTCCTTGTAGAATGGTGAGATCATGGTCGTGAAGTTGCGGTAGAGCTCACGATGAATCCTGATGTACTGAGTACAATGCCCTGCTTGCCCAGGGCTTCGATAACCGTTTCCTGTCTCAGAGTCGAAGGCTTTCTTCAAGGCCTATGAATACGATGAGGCATTAGCGCGCGATCATTGTACTCCCGCGATACTTCGATGAGCTTCGTTACCGTGTGGATGTGATCGATCGTGCTGAATCCTCTTCGAAACCCTGCTTGCTCGCATGGCTGTCCTTCGTCTAGTGTTCTTCCAATCCTGTTAAGGATGACTCGTGTGAAGAGTTTTTGCCTAGACTAACAGAACAGCAGGCAGATTGGGCGAATATTGCCAAATGTTCGTACCAGGGTCTCCCTTCTTGTACAGCAACACAGTCTTGCTGGTTTTCCACGAGGTGGGTACCTTGCATCCCGACAGGTAGCGCGTGAAGAGTCGAGCCAGAGTTTTGACGAGAACTGGCGGAAGATTCTTCAGATGTATGGGTCTGACCCTGTCGGGGACCGGTGCCGTACGATTCCTCACCGACGAGATGGCGTGTCGGACTTCGGAAGAGAGAACTGCAGGAACGACATATCCATCCTGCTCCAAGCGGTATGGTTGCAGGTGGACGTGGCTGTCAAAGAGATCCGAGTAGAAGTCGTGGATGACCTTCTCCATTGCCCTTCTATGCGGTGATTGTTCCATCCGGACGTCGGAGTCCATCTGGGTTTAACAGTTGCGCGCGGACGGGGCGTGCTGTATGCCCTTCCCAACCTCTGCGGGCTATTCCACCATACCTCGCTATCTCTCCTTGATGATCTTCTTTTATCGCTCCTCTGCATAGCTTCGCAAGCTCAGACGTCAGCTGGTAATTGCCTGCGGCTCGTGCGGCTCCACGTTGGCGAATCAGCTCGAGAGTTTCCAGAGATAGACGCTTCTTGGTAATCTTGGAACCCTCTGACTTCTTGGCGCAGTACGTGAAAAGATGTAGAACAAGCCGTTCGAATGTCGCTACGTCGAGTTGTCGATGACAGAATCCTCCCAGAGCCCAGCGAGAGAAGTGAAGTGATCCCAGTTGATGAAGGTCTTTGGGCTTCGCTTCTTGAACTTCGCGGCTCTCATCTCCTCAGCAAGAAAGAAGCGGAAATCTCTTGCGCGAAGGAGACGATGGTCGGATCCCGTGTAGAACTTGGGGACAACAGCGACATCGGTTAGGCAAAACCTTCGATTGCAGATGATGTGGTCGATCTCGTTTTAATGGAAGTGCCACGGAGTTCATGTCCAGCGTAGAGAGTAGGGCTTCTGGAACTGCGAGTTACCATGGATGGTATGGGTCGACATGATAAACTCAGACAGCCTTTCACCCTGCTCATTCCACTCCGTTCCGTGAGTTCCGATGTGAAGTTCTTCAGCCGTTCTTCTTGGTCCGATCTTAGCGTTGAAATCACCGACGATGACTTAAGAAGTAT